CCATTGTAATCCTTTTAGCATAGCTGGTTAAATTTTTATTTTTCATCTCTTTTGATACTCACATGTTGGTTAAATTTTTATTTTCTAGTTTACTAGATAAGTTCCATGTTTACTGATACTTGTGAATATTATAGGACAAATTTGACAGTGATGACATAAATGATCAACGAGATCATGGCTTGAAACATACGAGGAAGTTATGGAACAATTGGAGAGGATCGTTGCACAAGAATATAAGTCTAAGCCATTTCGTGATGCTCTAAAAGATGTACCAAATGGGGTAGACAAGAGTGATTGGGAATGGCTCGTCAAGGAGCATTTTTTGACTGAAAAATTTAAGGTATGATTTCATAGCTATTTATTAACATCTTGTAATATTAAGTGGCTGACCATAATTTTTCAATGTGTTCTCAATTTAGGAAAAAAAGTGCAAGAAACTCGGTCAATAGGTCTAAGTTGAGTATGCCTCATCGTACGGGTAGTAAGCCAATTAGAGAGATTATTTATGAATTGGTGAGTAAATCTTGCAAACTATTAAGAAACTCCATCCTTGTTAAAAAGATTTGTTTGACTTATTTATTTTAATTCACCGGATGTGGCAACTATCTTTTTGAGACTAAGAATGACAGCAAGCTTATTGAACCTAAAACTAATGAAAAATATGTATGTTTATTGATAAATTTTATTTTATATCATTTGTTTACTTTGTTGTAGTATTTAATTAAATTATCTTTCATTTTATAGGTTAAAATCCAAGAAGTGGTGCAATCTGAATCATCTCTTACAAACATTGAGGTTGTAGAGAGGTGCTTTAGACCTCAACGCAAGAGTCATGTTGTTGGATTTGGTGTTGGGATAACCGCTAAGAAGTTGAAAGGTGGTAACTCCTCGAAAGCTGCATTATTAGAGAAGCTAAATGCTACTGAAAAAGAAACGAATCACTAAAAGGATGCCTGAAAGAGCTAGAGAGTAAATACACACAGCTTGCAAGTGCAGTATTTCATCAGACTTCATCACCATCTTCAAGTGAGCAATAGATTGAAGCATTTAACAGGTTCGTAGATTGAAATCTTATTGTATTATGTGACAAAATTATTGCAATGCTCATGTGAAAGTTTTTCCTTATGTTATTAAGGTTTATGAATAAAAATATATATATATAGTCATTGAAACAAGTGAATTTAAGTAAGTCACATACAATTGCATAACTTTTCCCTTAAACTTCCATAACAATCTACGCCAGTCATAGCTTTAGTATCGTCCTTTGATGGAAAAGCTTTAGTGTCCATGCTTTTCCAAGTGGAAGATTCCTTTACATTAGTTGCTCATATTCTGTAAAGTGTGGTTCCAAAAACTGAAATAAAAAAAGAATATAATGTCAAAGGGCAGTACTTAGGTAGCCTCAACTAGTGTCATATGAAGCATATGAAGAACAATGGAATGGTAGACAAATTACGAAGTGTACTTATACAACCTCAAGTAGCGCTATCAGAATGTCATCTTATGAAATATACTACAACCCGCAAATTGTTATATATCTCAAGAACATATTGACTGTGTTGATATGTCTCAAGTGCTGTATTTGACTGATTTTTCTCAAGAACATATTGACTGATCTTTCTTCTTTAATTATTTTGATCAGAATATGTCTTATGAAATCTAAATGTGTTGATATTGTTGGTGCTGCGTAAGAAACAACTTTTTCATGTGCCCATTAAAAAGTTTAATTAGGAAAATTAACTCATTTTTTGTATCTCAATTGCCTGTCCACATGATCTGTAGAATTGCAAGAAGCTCGATATAGGATTTGCTTCCCAAAAAGTGCTCGTTGTGCAGGTTTTAATGTAATAGGATTGAGTGATGTAAAACTATACGTCATTAGTCACTCTTCTGATCATTGTACACAGATATAGAAAATTTAATGCTGTCATTTTTCTGCTACAATATTGTCCCACTCTTATGTCATCTGATCTTTGTATTATTTCAATTTCTTGTTTATGGTCATCAATGTAGCCTTTAATGGAATTATTAAATTGACATACATTTGTTATGTTAACAGATCTGATCTTTCTTTATTAACTGGCATACATGTGCTCTTTCTTCTTTAATTGTTTATTCTTTGTTACTAAACTGGCATACATTTGTTATGTTAACAGATCAAACATTTGAAGTCCGAAGAACTATCCTTGAAGAAAGTGTACGGCAAGTTGAAGTACAAGAGGTTTATGCTTTGTTAGGGATGGTTTAAACATCTTGTACATATGCTGCAATTTTATGTTTCTCTTTTAGGAATTATAAAAAATGATGTCATACGATTTAGATTAGTTTCTGGTAAATATGATACTTTAGTTCTTTGTAATAACAAAAACATGAAGTATTTGGTTTATTTTCGAGTGTTGTTGAGTGTGTATGAAAGCATATAAATAATTATTTCTATTTATCTAATTTAAATTTTCGTAATTATTGGTACAATTTTACAGTAGCAAAGGAAATTGTGGTCACTGAAACTCTTTAATTATAGGTTTCTCAAACAGATAAATGGGCATTAACGAAGGAAAATTTGGTTCTTAAAAATAATTATACAACTAACGAAGGGAATATCGGTCGTTAAAGGCACTTGTAATGACTGAATTAGTTCTTGTAAGACTTTTAATGACCGGATAATAAATTAGCGAATGAAAAATTCCGTCGTTAAAAGGGACTTATAACGACCGGAGATTGTGTTGTCACTAAAGGATCTTTAACGACCAGATTGTAATCCGGTCGTTAACTTTTAACTTCGGGGCTTTTAACGACCGGTGACGACCGGATTTTTTCTGGTCGTTAACAACTTATAACGACCGAATTTGGATTTTTAACGACCAAATTTCCCCTCGCTAAAGGCCTATTTTCTATATATTCCTCCTTTTGTTTAGCGAAGCAAGATCGATGCAACTTTGTATGTGGCGTGTATGCTTGCCATTCTTCTGCTTTGAGACACAATGAATGTTCATTTAAAGAAAATAATGGCGTCAAGCATCAACTATGGCTCATGTTATTCATCTTTTATTTTTTTTAGAAATTTGGCAGGAATAGCTATGATTTTAACCAGTTTTTTGAAGAAAGAATAAAATGACAGTTACCAAAAATACATTTAACTTTATTTCTATCTTTGGTTATAAGTATTTATTACTGTAGAACAGGAATATACGTATGCATTTACATTTGTCAAAATATTTTTTTTTGCATTTTAACATGTTTCTATTCTGTGTAAGAATAAATATCTTTTTCCTTTTGGAGTTGGATAGCAGTAGAGATGATTGGACTATGGGATTCTATCAATACAAAGAAAAACAGGAGAAAATTATTAGTGCAACAATAATAATTGTTATAGATAAATTACAAGATAATTTAGTGTTACTCATGTATTTTCCTCTATCATGACTAAATTTATAATAAAAAGAGTCATTTTTTAAGTTCACTAAAAAAATTTAAAATAGCGCGAAGCGCGAACAATTTAACTAGTCTATTAATAAAGGAAAGGAGTAACAAATCCATGAAATTATGACAAGTGTCAAAACGAAATATCAACACGTGTCATGTTTTAAGATAAAACTTCAATAAATTTGGAGAATAAAAAATATTTGAAAATAGAAAAAAAATTACAAAATTTTAAACCATTAATCTGGCCAGTTATTCACATCATGAGTCCCACGTTTGGGCATATCTATTCACACCATGAGTCCCACGTTTTTTGGGCAGATCTTTTTTAAACCAGAAAACTAAAAAAATATAATTACTCACGACAATTTTTTTAACAGAGAATTTTACATAAAAATATTAATAAAGGAAAAAAATACTCCATGATCGTCTATTAAAAAAAAATGGACTCCCACGTTTATTCACTAGTTTTTATTTAATTTATTATAAACCTAAATATTCGACTATAAAAATTCTTTACAGATAATTTTATATAAAAATAGGAAGAAAGGAGAAAGAAAAATACTCCACGATCCTCTTCCCAAACGTGGGTATCAAAACCTAACTCCATAACTTAGAAACTGTCTCCTACGTTCATAATGTCTCAAACGTCTGCTCCTCTTTTGTATTCCCTTTTTTCTGTGCTCAAAATACAGAACTTTACAAATATGGCTACAACACTTCATTAAATCATCAAATTTCAAGCAACTCGATGCTACAGAATCTCAAAGTTAGAGTCGTTCGAATGCGAAAAATCCCGGATTCAAGCCTTAAACACCATATTCCATTGAGTTGATTTTACAAGATGCAAAGGTAACATATTCAACTTTACATAGTTCTAAAGTTTCTCTTCATTTTTGGTTTTATGAATAATATTTTCACAATAAACTGTACTAATTAAATGATTATGTATAGTACCAGTATTCTGTTCCTGTTTCTGAAAGTTTATCATCAGAAAGTTTGTTATTAATTTCTTTAGGACGAACTTACGGCAATTTTGCTTATTCAACTTTACTTAGTTTTAAAGTTTCTCTTCTTTTCTGGTTTAACGGATAAAGTTTTCACAATAAACTTTACTAATTAAACGATTATGCATCGTACCAGTATTCTGTTTCTGTTTCTGAAAGTTTATCATCAAAAAGTTTGTTATTACTTTCTTTAGGACCAACATGCGAAAATTTTGCTTATATTTGAAACAATTATGTGTAGTATGATTATTTCTCTATCTGTTTGTTAAAGTTGTATTCACAATTGTGTTTTCTCAATTGTCTATGAAAAACGCCAGTAATTTAAATTATGTATAAAATATTCTTTAATTGATAACTCACTGTAAAAATTATTATAATTCATCTATACTGAATCTTTGTACGGTTTAGCTTCCATTGTGTTTAAAATAAATCTCTGCAGATATCGGCTATGCTCGCCTTTGTTAGGACGAACATAATGAAACTTTGCTCATACATAGATGCTTCTATTTGTTAGTACCATGGTGGATGGTTGGGTGTGGTGATAGTGTGAATACTTAATCGTGTTTAAACAGACCCTTATCTATTGATATGGTCCTATTAGTAGAGGTTTCTGAATTTGTTCTATTTTGCTTTTTTTTTTTTGAACAAGGACAACAAGTAGCCACGGCCACAGGCGTCAGGCGCAACTGCAGACACACGTGCAGAAGCAGGAATAGAAAGAGATGGACAGTCTTAAAGACGAACTCTCAAACGCTCAACATAGAACAAATGTATGGCTCTATTAATTATGCAAATCATTGTTTAAAGATATTTAGTACTTGAACATGGTTTAAATTTATATATATGATTGACTGTTATTTCAGGCAGTTGTTAGGCAAGGACCTTAATGGTTTGGATTTGAATGAACTACGGCTGCTTGAACATCAACTAAATGAAGGACTATTAGCCATAAAGGACAGAAAGGTCTGAAGACTACTTTGATTATTCAGTTATTAGTGCTACAAGATGTAGTCAAATTTTTCCAGAATTTATCTATTTTGTTGAATCTTGAAATTTGAGCCATAATATTCTACATTCTAGGAAGAATTACTGATACAGCAACTAGAGAATTCAAGGAGGCAGGTAAATCACATCATAAAGTTGAAATATTTATATTTTTTTTATTCCAGAAAGAAAATATTAGAAGTACAGAATGGGCTTTTCTTATGTTCTGCTCATGTTTCTTTTTGGATGATGCCTATCCAGGAGGAGAGGCTGTGTTGGAGAGTGAAACCTTACACAGACGGGCAATACAAGCCTTCGTTTTTGTTTCTATTGCTTTACAATCTATAACTCCCCCCTTTAGGTTCCTGGTGGTTACTTTCTGACCACAATTATTTATAAGGTAACAACTTTTGTGTATATATATATAAAAAATTAACTGCATCAAAACTATATAGCTTTTCATAATTACACAGTTTATAAATCAACCCCATGAAGTTAGGTCACAGAAGAGGTACACACCGCTTCTCTGTTCTTTGCACTTCATTTCTTCCCATTCCTTCTTGCTTCACTTAATTCTACTCATGAATAAAGAAATTTTCTAAAAACAACGCGTCTTGACTAAAAAAGTTATATCTCTCTATAGACGCCTCAAAACCATGATTCACTTGTGCCGTTGAAAAGAGCATTTCTAGAACTAAATCATATACAAAAAACAGATCTAGATTCTTTGAATATTTATAAAGATAAGCTTTTGAATTTATTTCTGAAATATTGGTATTCTAATTTTCACATCTTTATGTGTCCTCACTAAAAAAATCATATCTTTCTGCAGACACATCAAAACTCTAGGTAATACCCCGCCAAGCTAAGAAAACTCCGGATCTCCGTAGCTGAGGATGGTCTGGGCCAACTCTGCACTGCTTCAATCTTCTTCGGATCTACCTTGATCCCTTCACTCGATACTACATGATCCAAAAATGCCACTGAATTTAGCCAGAATTTACACTTCAAAAATTTTGCATATAACTTCCTTTTCCTCCAGGTCTGAAGCACAGTCCTCAGGTGCTGCTCATGATCCCCCCGACTCCAGGAGTACACCAGAATGTCGTCAATAAATGACGAAAGTGTCAAGATAGGGCTGAAATGCATTGTTCATCAAGTGCTTGAATGCTGCTGGGGCGTTGGTCAACCCAAAAGACATCATAAGAAACTTGTAATGACCATACCTAGTCCTGAAAGTAGTCTTCGAGATATATGGCTCCTGAATCTTCAACTGATGATAGCCTGAACGCAAGTCGATCTTAGAGAACACCCTGGCACCTTGGAGCTGGTCAAATAGGTCATCAATACGTGAAAATGGATACATGTTCTTTACTGTAACCTTGTTCAACTGGCGATAATCAATACACATTCGCATAGAACCATCCTTCTTCTTTACAAACAAGACAGGAGCACCCCAAGGCGACACACTGAGCCAAATGAATCCTTTATCAAGTAACTCATGCAACTGTTCCTTCAAATCTTTCAACTTTTCTAGGGCCATACGATAGGGTGAAATAGAAATGGGCTGAGTGCCCGGTAACAAATCAATGCCAAAGTCGATATCTTTGTCGGGCGGCATGCCTGAAAGATCTGCCGGGAGGCATGCCCGGAAGATCTGCCGGGAATACATCTGGAAATTCTCTCACTACTGGAACTAACTCGAAGGTAGGAGTATCAACACTAACATCCCTCACATATGCCATATACGCATCACACCCTTCTCAACCATTCGCTGAGCCTTGAGAAATGAGACAACCCTGCTAGGAACATGATCTAAGGTACCTCTCCACTTTAGCCATGGTAGACCTGGCATAGCTAACGTCACCGTCTTGGCGTGAAAATCAGGGATAGCATGATAGGGCGACAACCAGTCCATGCCCAAAATAATATTGAAATCCACCATACTAATCAACAATAAATCGGTTCTGGTCTCAAAACCACTAAGAACAATCAAACACGACCGATACACACGGTCAACAATAATAGA